GTGGAAGTGGTACTGGAGAGTAGCTGTGGCAGTGGCACGCACCAGGATAGTGGATCTCTCTGCCCCTGCACGGGGTTCCTCTGCTTGTCCATTTGAAGGTCTCTCTTCGGCTGCAGGATTTCGGATAGAGCCCATGTGCAGGTGATGATCCTTCGTGGTGGCTCGGTTTACAGAACTAAACAGATGGCCCATCGTCTGGCTGTGGCCTGAGGTCCCTGTGCCAACCACACAGCCTTTGTGGTGGCCATATGGCAAGGTGGGTTGGTGGCTTGTCCCTCTTGTGCCTCCTTGGCTGTGACTTGGTTTGCTGCAGGTTAACGCGCCGGCTGCTGACCAGTGTTAACTGTGTGCTCGCAGGCTATGTATGTAAACCTGAGTGACCTCCCATGGGTGGGTTTCTGTTTGTAACGCCTCTGTTCAGCAGTGATTTCCGTTCTCATCAGGCCTTGAGACGTGTGAAAACATTTTATTTGTAAATGCAGCAGTATCCACTTCCATGCACCTTAATCCGGCGCATCAGTGCTGTCACTGCTATTGACTGGAGTTATCCCTTCATCCAAACCTGTGTCAAACTCGACAAGATTGACTTTCTGTAAACTCATGCTGATTCGTATTAATTGTTTTATCCTTCAGTTCCTCATTACTCCCCTGACAGTCATTTTTCAGATTTTTCTGGCATCCCCGTAAGGCTGCAAACACTATAAAACTTCTCCTTAGGTGGAAATCATCCTGACCTGCTGTTTTAAAAGTGCTTTTTAATAACTGCTGTTTAACGCCTGTCTGTGTTATGGTTGGGATGAAAATTACTTTCTGTAATACGATCTGAATATTTAATTGGCTTCTTCCCCATGCAGAGCACAAATATTTATTCAGTACTCTTATTGGTGTGAATATTGAAAATTTCACCCTTTCCAGGTAGTATTAAATCAGCACCCCTGTTGCCATTCCTGTTGTTCCTAAGGTAGAGAAGCAAAGGAGAAAAAAAAAGGCCCTTGTGCATCTTGATTCTATTATCCAGACATTTTCAGTAGGTCCATTTGCTTTTATAAGTTCTCTTTATTTCTAATACATTGCACTAAAACTTGTTATAATTGTTTTGGCTTTTATATCTGATTTAATCTTCCTCTACACCAATTAACTTATCCATTATCTTTGATTCTTAATCTTGTACAGCATTCTTTCTCACATGTAATAGTGGGCTTTCTGGACATTTAATGACATTTTCTTAAAACTGCTCCTGGGCATTACTTATTTTTAGTATGTGAATTAGCTGGTTAATGATTTGGCTCAACTATTTCAGCTTTGTGAAAATAAAGCTTTTGAGAATTATTAATTTTGTGTGTTCATTATGTAACTGCTTTTACTTATTAGGGACACTCATTTTATCTATGAAATCTGTCACTTGTTTGGTGCATTTTAAGTTCTTCACTTAACACTCCATGCTCTTTCTGTTAGAGATGATCTGTATTCTGAACAAATTATCGTGCCTTTATAAATTACTATCTGCTAACCATGTGTTAGGTTTTTCAGGAGCATCATCTTTCTGGTCATTGTAGCAAGTGATCTCTGAAGGAGAAGCTGTATTTCTTCCTTTAGAACGAAGTGAGCATTGAAAAGACTGTATTCCAGTGCACTGGAGACTTGCTTCCTACCTTTGCTCTCTTTTCAACTTGTTAACTCTGCTGAAATGAAAGATGAATGTGGAACAGGCCAAACAAAATATACTCCTTCTGCTGTGACCTTGCAAGCTGTATTCATTTCTGCAGCTTCTCTTCACTGTTGTGTAACTACTGTTACAACTTTCTTTCACCTGCTGGAACAGGAAGGAAAACAGGCTTTCTACCTTTCCTCTTGAGCACTTACCACTTGTAGGACATCAAAAACATGCAGCAGGAGATAGCGACAAGTTTTATAAACAACGCTAACGTCTACAAAGAATATAGCAGTCATTATTTTCCCAGGTTTCCACTTTATTGCTTGACCCACGGATCTGAGCATGTGCAGTGTGGAGTGGAAGGCCCTTCCTACTGAAGAAGTGAAAAAAACTTGCTGTACAATATATGCTTGTCTCTGGTCTTCTAAGCATAACCCAATGATCGTGAGGAGTGAATGAGGAGCTCTTGAGCCACCTTCTTACATGGGGGTACCTAACTAACAAGTTTTAGAGCATCTCCATTTTCTCCAGGATGCTTGCAGGAGATGCACTAAGTGCTCCATACTGCAGTCAAGGTCAGTCATTCTCAGGCCAGGTGCTCCTGGCAGTTCCGCCCATGCTTGTCACATGTTGCAGACATCATTTCTTTCCTCCCAGGCTAGCTGACATGGCATCTCCACAGCTGAGCCCTCTTGGTAGAGCTAGGGCTTGCCTGGCTGGGACTGTGGTCCTTGGGGAGGTTTGGCCACTGTGTGCAGCAGTGACATTCTCCCCATTGGGCAGGAGCCCCCAGCATCCGAAACCAAAAACAACTGCCAAGGAAAAAAACAGGACAGCTCCTCAAAGGCAGGAGTGCATTAAGTCATTTTCATTTAACTTTTCCATGAACAACTCCTGCTCCAGCCGCAAGCTCGCCTTTGTTTGCAGCAGGTACCTGCAGGCTCTGGCATCGCCTGTGTCTGGGAGTGCTGTAGTTACAAGCTGTCAGGTTACTTCTACACCTCTGATGGTGTTGATAGCATCTGGTGAGATGATAGTTTCCATTTAGTTATAATTTTATAAATTTCAGTATTTTATTTCTAGATGGCAGTGAAGTTATGTAGTACTGTGCAGAGAAAGGAAAAGCCATTAGGCTGACTATAAAGTAATACTGGAGTCTGCTGTATCATTGACTTTTGGCTGTTATTCCAGCAGACGTGCTCCCTATTCCCACGTGAGTCTGGAAAAGGGCTGCTGTTGCCTTGCATCCATCAGTCATGCTGCTGCTGCTTGCTCTGTGCGGGGGTGGGTTTGGGCCAGGCTTCTGCGTGGCGGGTATCTCTCCGAACAGGGAATTGTTTGGAGGACTGTGGCATCACTGCATCTCCCAAAGCAGTGCCTCGTGTGTGCAGAGCTGGTGGCGGGTGGGCGGGCAGAGCTTGGATGCTCTGGTACGTAATCCCTTGGGAGCATCGCTGCTGCTCTGCAAAGGGCGCTGGCTTGGATGTGGTGAAACACAGGCATGTGCTGCCTCAGATACAGGAGGTGAAATTGGGAAATGTCGGTCATCGCATTCAATTAGCCCAGTGCACTGCAGCTGGGAAGAGTTTTTACTGGATTTACTCGTCCTTCAGAGTAGCTCATTAAATAATACCCTAAGTGAAACCCTAATTTCTAAGGTGCATTTAAAAGCCTGCAGGGAGGTATTTCCCTTCCCAGAGTAACTGCTTGCAAGACAAAGTAGGAAGATACCGAAGAAGCTGCGTCTCTGGCAAAGTGCCCGATGAGTGGGATAGATGGGTGAGCAAAGGGAAGATGGCTCAGTTTGCAAAACCACATCTTGCTAAAGGAGCACGATGGGGTTAGGAGTCTCGCATCTAAAGTGTCTTTCCTCTAGGAGAGCTTTAAGAAAAATGTCTGAACAGTTACTTTTTACTTAGCAGTTTTGCCTTTCTTTGTTTCCCCCCCGCCGCTGTGCATTACAGGTTTCCCTTGGGTTTCCCTGTGTTTAAATCCACTCCTGTGCATCTACAAGTGGAAGATGTTTATATGGTAGCAAGTGCGGTAGTTAACCGAGTTGCAGACGTATCAAGGAAACTTATTTCTTTTGAAAATGTAACACCACCACCCCCGATTTCACTGCACTTTTTAGCTGAGCACAGTGTTTAGCTCTATTAAAAGAGTATGGTCTTGGGATATGTACAAGTGCATAGCGGCTTATTTGGCAGGGAAAGGAGCAAAACAATGAACCACGTTGCACTGGTTAGTCCTCTCTAAGCGCTTTCTTTACAGGCATGCTGTCATCTGCCTGTCTGGGATTATTGTATAAAATGGAAAGGGACCTCTCAGGTGGAGGCTGGGGATTCTGGCTTCGGTGGGGTCAGGATTTCATCCTCTGCCACCTGCCTAGAGCTCAGGTCTTGTATTCACATTTGACCCTCCTAATTCCCACCTGCAACTAAGCGCTTTCCTGGCAAATCTGTGTGGAGTTGTATCGGTGATGCTTGCAGATAGTCAAAGCAACAGTGTCGTCTGAGGTTTGGAATTACTATGACTTTTGAGCTTAGAATAAGCACCATAGCCATTTCTGTTTAAAAAACAAAATAGTAGTATTCTAGTCTAGGTTTCCATTTTAAACGCGATCAGTACTCTTCCATCGCTGAGTATTATGAGGATGCATGTTGCTGAGATGCATCTTTACAAAATGTTTTAAATTCTCTATCCTGTACCTATATTGCAGAAATTGGGTAAGGACGGGGAGTTGTGTAAATGTCAGTGCACTGAAAGTCATGCAGACTTCACAGTAATTAAATGCAAGGAGGCCTTAAAGGAGTTCCTTCATCTTATACTTCGTTAACATTTATTGCATGGATCAGGGCTTTGTAGATCAGAGTTCGTACACGTGCCCTTTTTGTCTGGGTGAAGCATCACTGCATGAAAGGCAGGCGGCTATTTCCCTTTTGTGAGCATTTAGTTTATTGTCATAAACAAGAAATTCACATTTTTTTCAGGACGTTTGGTGAGGTATCCCCTGTATCTGAAGCGGGTGCTTGATCGCGGGGCGGATGGGTGCCTTTCACAGCAGTTTGGTGAGGCTTTGGGAAGGCTCCTATGCTGTCTCCTTGGGGCTGAAGGCATTGTTCTGCATCTGGTGGGTCATTGTCCTCTTTTGGGCAGTAGGACTCAATGCTATCATTTAGAAGGTTTAATTGCCATAAACTTTGCATTCTGTAACTCTCCAGTCTTGTAGTTTTACCAGCAACAGTGTCCTGAGTCCCCCGAGACACCTGTGAGGGGAGGCAGGGTGTGAGCGGGCTGGTTTGAAGTTGGAGCTGTGTCTTGTTAGTGCCACGTTAATGTTACAGCGATGGTAATCTGCCTACAGTTGTTGATGGTTTTAGATGAAATATTGGCTGAGTTTTATGGCTTAAAAATGCAAAAGGTGAGAAGAGATCTTGTACTTCAATCCTTCGGTCACAAGAGGCACAGGAGGGCGAGGGATGTCCTGGCACAGCAGCCCGGGGGGTGGCATCATCCCTCTCTGCGTTTCAGGGTGCGCAGCAAGCGTCCGGGATAGAGGCTCTTCTCTGCCCAGCGCTGCAGGCAGCTGCCTGAACACTTGGTGAGCTTGCAAGGAAAGGCAGGGCCCTGCACATACAAAAGTTTCTACCTCTTAAAAATGTGTGGTTATAGAGAGACTGCACCAAGTGCTGTATCTTTCACATGCTCTTCATGTCCTAGTGCTTGCTGCTTAATTCTCATCTCCTTATGACTGCAAATCTCAAATGGGAGGTCGGTGCAGGCCTGCAAAGCTGGCTCTTTCTTCACCTTTCTCAGTCTGAGTTCAAGGAACAATAGCCAGAGATGGATAATTGGCTTTGCTTACTGCGTATTTGTCCTTAAAGCTGAAGAATTTATTGAAACTTCTCAGTATAGTATTAAATTGCTAGAAGTGTTATTTTTAGGTTGAAATGTCTCACCTAGCACTGTGATGGCCAATTTGTTCAACAGATGACTCCCAATTTGCTTGTAGAGAGATATGTTTTTGACTACTTAAAACTGTTGGTGTGTCTTCAAGGATTTAATCCCATTTCATATAGACCAGCAAACTTCTGCAATCCTACTGGGATGACACTTTTCATCCTGGCAGTGGAAACCTTACTGGGACTAGTTGGGAGACTGAGAAACAATCAGAATTTACATTCTCTGCCATTATAGCTTTGTATGTCTGTACACTTCAGGGCACTCCTGCAGGATGCGTTAGCGTAGCTAAAATAAGACAAACAAGTCAACTTTTCTGAAAGCATGAATGAAACCTATTATTAGAGGGGAAAAAATGCTGGGTTAGTATAACCTCTGCCCGAGGGGCCCTTGTTATAAAATAACACAGGAGCAACCGGACGCTCCTCAGTGAAAGGCCAGTTATTGAGTGAATTCAGTGTGAAGAAAAAGAAGGCTCTGGGGAGACCTTATAGCACCTTCCAGTACCTGAAGGGACTACAAGAAGGCTTTTTACAAGGGCCTGTAGTGACAGGACAAGGGGTAATGGGTTTAAATTGAAAGTGGGGAGATTTAGACTGGGTATCAGGAAGAAGTTCTTCACAGAGAGGGTGCTGAAACACTGGGACAGGTTGCCCAGAGAAGCTGTGGATGCCCCATCCCTGTCTGTCTTCAAGGCCAGGCTGGATGAGGCTTGGAGCAACCTGGTCTAGTGGAAGGTGTCCCTGCCCGTGGCAGGGGAGTTGGAACTCGATGATCTTTAAGGTTCCTGCCAACTCAAACCATTCCATGATTCTATGGTCATTGCTCCTCAAGCTGGGCTGGCTCCGGGGGTGCTCTGGTTGTAGGTGCCTGTGGGAGCACTTGCTTCTCCTGCTGCCCATCCTCAGTACAGGGCAATGGGGACCTGGTAGCAAGCATGGGGCTTGTCTGCTGCTCCCCACCAGCCATACTAGGTGGGACCAAATCTTCCCAATGACGATCCTCAGCCATTCGTGCAGCTGAAATCTGCAGGTTGGTTCCCACCTACCTTGGAGAGGAGATGAGAAGGATTCAGAGCTGGGTGGTGACGATTGTTCCCTGCTGGGATGAAGCTGGGTGGGCGCTGATTTTCAGCTGTATCGGATTAGTTAATATAAAATTCAAACTTCTAAATCCCCTTCCAAGAAAGAGACTGACATGCTTTTCAGTGTTAGAAATTACAAAATTTTGAGTCCTCACGGCACAATGATATATGCTCACAGCAAGATCAGAGGGCAACAGCAGGCGTGCCAACAGCTTGACAATTAACTGCAAGGAATCTAAACAAAATCCATTTTAATGCAAAACAAACACTCTTGAAGTTTTTTATATTTATTTTGGTTGATAAAACTAAGATTTGGTGGAGGGAGGAGAAAATGAGTTGCTGAACCACAAACTCAAATGAAAATTGAGCCCAGACCAAGCTCGACTGGGCGCTAGGGAAGCTGGGAGGTGCTTGTACCATCTACCACTACATTCCAATTGTGAGCACCCTGTTCAAGAAGTTACAAAATCTCAAATATCCCAGTGGAGGTATAATTATTTTTCACTCCTTTATCATAGACTTTCCTTTGAAAAGAGTTCGCTACCTTAAAATAAGCGGAGTATTATCCTTGCCAAAGATCTTTCAGCCTCTTTAGAATAGGGCATTTAGATTACTGGGGACAAAGTGAGTATCTTGAATGCTCCGTGTCAGGGCACAAACAAACGGCACAGAAACAGTAGTACAGTACAGAGTGAAACCTGACAACTTGGTGTTAAAGGAAAGGAATGCTACTGTATGGTTTGATTGTGATCAACTTATCTTCAAGTGGGTTTATTAGCAATTTAATGGAATATTGGTTATTCAAGAACCATAATAGGCCCGGTTGAAATGTCCCTTCTGCGCAGTTTTCCCATACCCTGTGGAATGAGCAGAATGTGACAGTCGAGCTTTCAACAGGCTTCATGAATTTTAAATACTTTTCAGCTGTGAAATGGGGCACATGGCATGTGGTCAAGGGTGGACAAGGAGCTGGCAGCCGCCGGGGGTATTATGGGATATTGAGTGTCTGGGAGATAATGAATGCTTGGCTTATCCAGGTGCATTCTTGGCCTGCTGTGCATGTCCAGGCAGAAAGGAATATATTTCTCTGTCCAGCACTTAACAATTGATCATTTTGTAATTGTAAGCAGAAAGTATTTAGAACGTTACTTTCTCAGCATGCCTGCGTACGACTTAAATTTCATGTCATCATCTTTATCTGGCAAAATCTTCACTGTTTTTCTGTAACAATGCATTCATGCTGCTTGAACTTTTCCACTAACCTGATTTTATGCCTAGTGGATATTAGTGAGCCTCTTGTTCTAGTGGCTTTAAATCACCATCCTTTTAAGCATCCTTTTATTTTTTCTGTGAGTTTTTTTTATATCGGATTGAAATTATTTCCACTTGCTGTGGGTTGAAATTTCAGCCCAACTTTTTGTAGCAAGTGAGCAGGTTGCTGGCTCATGTTTTGTGGGAATAGTGTCCCTGCATTTTAAAGGCTAAGTGATGGAATAGAGGAAGGGGAAATGCAGGCATGTTTTACTGCTGGTGAGCTGCATCGAGTTATGCACTTCGGTTCTGCTTAGCTATTAAAATACATTGTGCTCCAAGGACATCCAGATCAATTGTGATTTTTAACTCTGTGTACCTGGAAGAGGAGGTTGCCGCTTGACCTCTCAAGACCTGCCAGGCTGGAGCTCTCCTGCATGGCATAGAAGCTTTTCTGGGACCAGAAGCTCTGGAGGCCACCTGCCACTTTCTGTTCCTCCTCTGTGTGCCAGTCCCTTCTGTGCTGCCCCTGGTCCAGCCCTTTCCATGCTTCTCCTTCCCCATTAATCCATAGTGGTGCTGTACTCACTCCTATCTTGGGCCGCTCTCCAGGGGCAATGGACATTTGGCACTAGCTACAGCAGCCCTAGGCACACAGTTTGTGACTATTTCAGTAGTAGGGCAGTAAGTGAGTTTGGAGCTGTAATTAGCAGTGTGTGGGCAGTCACAAATGGGGTAATCATCCATGTGGCCCTTTCTGAACGCCATGGATCATGAACTACCCAAACTCTGCCAGAAGCTGTGCCTGCCTGGTGCAAGCTTTGGATAAGGGTGGAACTGTCTCAGAGCTGCAACCTGAAAGCATTGATGTGGGATCTGTGTAGTGGGAGCCACTAACAAGTTATCTTCTGCTTGATGATATGGCTTGGGAGTACCTTGATGTGTTCCTTCTTGGGTCCCCTGTGACCTTACTTGCTGAAAAATGGTTGGGGGCGTGCAGTGTTGCGTGCACACTGCATGGCACGTCTGGCTGAGCAGGGTGGAAGGAGCAGCGTGTCTGCCCACTGAGACCGGTGCCCGCTATGTGTTGGTGGGCACTCCAGCACAGGCACCAAGGCACTACACGTCTGACTGATGCTGTGGTGCAACTTGGGTAAGGACCTGGCCCTGGAGCTCCATGTTGGCAGAGTACAGCAGGGTGGGATCAACTGAAACTCCCAAAAAAAGTTTTCTTGGGTGTTCTGATGTGATGCTGTTTTCCACGTGTCGTGATGCGTGGCCTAGTTTAAAGAAGTCATGCTTGGATCACTCTGAACTGAGCATTCTGGATGCCTTAGGAGCAGCATATCCATACACGCCATCGAGGAGCGTGCTGCTGAGCAGCTGGCAATTTGCTCTGGGGCCGGGTTTCTGCCTGTATTCACCTCTCTCCCCTTCCCGAAAAAGGCAGTGGGATGGACACAAAGGCCCAGTGTGGGTGGAAAGGGAGATGGATTGCCAAAGCAAACTGTGGTCTGTCAGCTGGCGGGTACAGGGTGTCCTTACCAGGCTGTCCTGTTTGTGGGACAGAGCTGACCTTACTTGTCTTGCACTTAACACACTCTTACAGCATGATCTGCATTGAATTGCTGTGCTGGAGCATCTTGTTCTTCCACCACTTCCCTGCTGACCTCTTAAGAGCCAGGGCCCTTTCTGGTATCAACACTGGGAGCAGGAGTTGGAAACTCTGCCACAACCCACATCCCTCGATTTTCCGAGATCAATATACACAAGGGTGTGTATCTGACCTACTTAAAGCAAGAAAACAACCAGTAGTGGGTTTTTCTTCTCAAAAACCTTAAAACTATTACAGTGCTGCTTTATTTCCTTTGAAGCCTCTGCAAGCCCAGAAGAGCAATGCTTATTGTCAAGTGGAGACAGACTTGCCTCATCTCCAAAGAGCAGATTGAGACCGGCAAGAACCTGGATCATGACCAACACTGGTATCTGGTTTGGCAAAACTGAAATCTACCCTTTCCTGGCCTCGGATTTGTCCATCTCTATTTATAGCCTTCACCCGGAGCCTTGCTGAAAAATGCATTATATATTGACAGTGGCACTTTGTGAACTCAGAGCTAATGGCTCCA